AGTAATGCATATCCTTCATGGTGACCTCTTACTTGTGCATTTGAAAATTCTTAGGAATACATATCCCCCCTTGGTGACCCCTTACTTGTTTTACACGCCAAACTTGTTTGTAACTTACATTGATTTCGAGCAAAGCATTCAAATCCGTTGATATTTCATTAGGCCTCCAAACCTTAGAACAAGTTTTTCCCATAATCTCATGCAATATAGTACCCATGACTTTTTTATTTACATGCTTATGATTTGGGTGTATCTGTAATGACAAACATGTGTGCACATTTTTAAAGTCCTGATTTCAAATTCATCAGTTGGATCAATGCGTTTTGCATACCAAGTACAATTCTCAATCACAATATATCTCGTAACGTTTTTTGTTAGATATCTGAAGCTTTTTTTTTTTTTTCTGTGTGTGAACTCATTTTCTGACCAGCCTTCATTTGACTCTTCATCGGCTGACAAAGTTTTGTCACACAGTCTTCCTAACTCATATAAATTTTCTTCTTTCACCGTATTCACTGCCACAATTTCTACTTGTGGATACTTTTTAAAATTATCAGATACAATGTTTTCAAAATTGTATAGTACAATCTTGTCAACCACTTCTATCTCTTCGACCCATGCATCAAACACCTCCAAATACAAATGCACAATCTCCTTCGTTTCAAACATTACATTTCTAAGTTCATGAACATCTGCTTCATCTACAATATTCATAACATACCCATGAACCGGGTGTTGAAACGATAATGATATATTAACTATTGAACGCATTAGCCTTACTTTTAACCAAATAAACCAATATTTGACGGTTAAAATTTGGCGAAAGTAGTACACCTAAGTTATTAAACTTTGGTCTAAGGTATTTGTTAATTTCATTACTCATCTGCCGAAAACCCTCCGTACATAAAATAACAAAACTCATATTTGCTTTGAAAACAAAATTGAACACTAAAACCGATTGAATATTGCAAATAGATAAAAATAATCATTTATATCACAAAACTGTCGCTAATAGTGTTGCAATCACCAATTCCGCGGAGATTTTAACGCCTCCACGGAGCCCCTCATCACCTCTTATGCGGAGGATTTAATAAATAACCAGACCAATCACTCCGCGGAGGTACCTATGCACACAAGGGTTTTAAAACAAAATAAGTTCACTATTTATCTTTCCGCAGAGATCCATCCACGGAATGTATATTCAGAAAAGTTATTTTTAATGTCTTAAATTACCCTACAAAATCTGATTATAGCCTATATCTTTCTAAGTTTACTGTAGTTTGATGCCATATATCATAACCTTGTTTTTTTCTCTTTTCGTAATAATTACGGACACATATACCAATCAACTTTTTCACACCTTGTCATTTTGGGCATTTTAAATATATCGATAAAATTTTTCTAACTGTAAAAAAAATATATATTAGTTTGTTGTGTTTTAACTAATTCAAACACTTTTAAACTTTATTTTTGTATTGGATAAACAAATAAAATTTTTAACAAAAAGATGAACTTATTAAACAAGCAATCCCAAACACCCCATAATTCAATCTTACATACATAAACTTTGTTATCTATTTAAATGTTGTGCACTCACGCACCAATAACACACCTGATTACATGCATCTTATTCTTCCCTAAGTTTAGCTCTGAAACTTGATATTTATTAGGCTAACAAAATGTATTTCATACCCCAAATACGGGAAACATTTATTGACAGATATTCACCAACAATACCTCATGGATCACTGATGGGCCAACATGTGTGAAGGAAAACCAAGTTCATTGGCACATGTTCTATCGAGAGTCAGAGACATCAACTGTTAGTAGCAATAAGCTGGTCGTGAAAATCTTTGTTATGAGCTAGTAATCTGTCGAGAGAGGGAATATTGTCCTTAATAACAGGTAAGTCAATAAGATATCTAAACCATGCATTCAACAAAGGTGTGTCCTTATCATCCAAAAGTTTAACGTCAACAATTTTCTCGACCATTTGAGCCCAGATGCCAAGCCAAGCAACTGTGATGTCCACAAAGCCTAATTTTTCGCCTCCAAAGAAGGGTTTATTCGGGTTCAAACTACTCTCAAGAGTCTTCAGATTCTCTCGAGTCTCCTTTGCAGCCTTATCTTTTAAGTCGCTTGTACTTGAAAACGTCTGAAAAATTGTTGGCACGCACTGGAAGGAAAAAAACAATTTTTTTTTCCATGAAATAAATCTTGAGGTGTTGCGTTTAAAGTAAGATAAAGCACTTTTAGGGGATTTTAAGGCTAATTTGACTACTTGACGCGTTATTAATATTACGACTTATCAAAGACATTCAGACTCTTCATTATGGTTTATGTTTTATGTATTTTGGTATTCTTAAAAAACAGCTTGGACATCTGGCTAAAATTTAGTCACTTGCATAAAAATAGTATTTGTGTTCTTCAATGATATTATGAACCCTTTGTCTCAAAAAAATAAAAATAAAAATGCTACAAGGCTTGTACTTCAATTTATGAAAGAAAAAAAAGGATACATGAGTTAGTCTTTCTTAAAAAAAAAAAAAAAAAAAAAAACAATAAATTGTCCAAGAAAATATAATATTTCCGTTTTGGAAAATTTGTCTCTAAAATTTACAAGATGTTGGTAAAAATGATTGTCCCCCAAAAGAAACAATTAGTGGGTTGTGGTGTCATGATAAGACACCTGAAAGATATTATGAGGAAACTATTGAGTAATGTTCAACAAGCCCCTTTTGACATGGACTCTAAGAAATGAGGTACAACCTAATTTCGCAATAGAGGATTAATGGGTGCATGTGCAAGAAAGCTAACCATTGTTAGAAAGGTTCCTTTTCCAAAACTTATTTGTTTCGTAACAAAAATTAAGACTTTGGTGAAAATATAAAAAACAAAATTATTAGTAACATGCATGTTATACATTCTATACAGCTCATAATCGTCGGTTCGGGATAAACCTTCATGTTACTTACCTCTTGATATGATAAAATGTATAAATCAGTGTTTGGGAACAACAGGTAGTTTGTTTCCCTTTCCCAAAAATAATTTAACATGTTTAAAAATATGTAGTCATATTTCAATACAAACCAATATATGCATCAATTTACATATACTATATTTAACCCCTAAAGCATAGATGCATAGTTCGTAATAAAAAGTCATTTATAAATAAATAAATTGGTAATAAAATAAAACAATTGCTGTATAAAGAATTTGATCGAAATTATTTAATTTTTATTTACAATATTTAAAATTAACCTTTTAAAAGGTAATTAATATATGGTACAGTGTCCATAAAATTGTTGACAAACTCATTTTTTTCACAAAGTTTGTATAAGATATTAAGATCATTTTGCATGAAATAGAATTAAAATCACATAGTTAGATAGTGTTCTTATAAATTCATAAATACAATTATTAATTCCTTTTTGTATATATATTTTAGAGTTTACATAAGATATAAAAATTACAATTCAAAAAATCTATTCACTACCATCTTACCGAATGTACAAACTAAGAGCTGTAAGGGTATTACCAATTAATACATAATAATAAGTCACATATTTGGCGAGTCCACAGCCACAAACACTCAAAAAAGATAAAACTCCTTATTTAACCATGAGCATACCAAATACAAACTACTTCACAAATCTATGTTCTTCATAAAAGTTAGTTTTTAGATATAAAAGTTACCTTGTCATCTACAAATTTTGCCCAAAAACGAGATCTTGCCCTCTCAAAAGGATCTTCGGGAAGAAGTGGATGATTTTTCCATGTCTCATCTATGTATTCAAGGATCACAAGTGACTCCACGATTGGTTTACCATTGTGTACAAGAATTGGTATCTTTTTGTACACAGGGTTGTATTGCAAAAGCATTGGACTTTTATTTGGAAGATCTTCTTCAACATACTCATATTCAATCTCTTTTATGCTTAGTGCCCATTTCACACGTAGCGTGAAAGGGCTCCCCCAAAATCCCAATAGCTTCACTTTATCTCCTGCCATTTTAATAGTTTGTTCTTCTATTTTGGCCTAGCATTCACTCTTATAGCATTGTCACCTATGATCAATAATTCAATTTGATATTTGATTCCTTTTTTACCTTCAAGATGTGACATATATCTTATTTATGTGGTCAAGCATGATCTGATATTTAATTCATTTTCCTTTAAGGACGTGATGACTTGTTTGATTTGAATTATAAGTAGCATAGCTTTCAGTCTTTGTCCCCACTTAACCCATATATTTTAATTTTTGGATAATCAATCACTAAAATATTGAAATGGAAGCTGTGTTCACTATGAATGACTATTTTTTATATTTACCACAAATAATCAGTAATTTTGCAAAATGTGCTTTTGCAAATATAATTTAATTTGTGAAATAGTATATGAATGGTCAAACACTGTTTAATCGAACTTTTGTTATTTCGTGACACTGTTTTGCCCTTCAACGAATTCTCCCGAAAATCTTTCAATCGCGGAACATGACCATAAGAAGTATGGGCTGAAATAAAACACGAACACAAATTATTTTCACCTGTTTCATTCAAATCAATATAAGATGATTTTCAGGATTTGGAGTAAGAATTTGTATATTTTATATTAAAAAATCCAATCGCTAGTGGGTTTTTATCTCCACTATTTAGTTTAGTGGTTATTTCACACTTTAAAATAAGTAACCTAAATTCATTTTTGTGTTTTCATTTATTGTTCATAAATTACTAATACATATTTTTGTGTTTCGTTTTTTTTATCGTTGTCTAATATTTACTATGCGTAAAATTACAAGAGTTCATTTAAAAGAAAAATTAAATATGAAATTCTAAACATTTAAAATTTTGAACTGAGACAAAATTGCAAAATTGGTACATGTTTTATGCATTTTTTGGATATTTTAGTCCAAACATCAACTACTTTGGATTGTAGGTCCTTTTTATGCAGTTTTGGTTCTTCTTTCACTTTTTAAAATTATTATTATTATTAAATATAAAAATAAGTCCACCTCTCTCTCATGTATAATCTCTCTCTCTCTCTCATGTATAATCTCTCTCTCATGTATAATCGTCTTCTTCCTAAAAAAACTCACACAACACACCACAATAATCATCTTCTTTAATCTTATACATCAATCTATCTTCTCCTCCACCTCTGCAAGATTCATGTCTTAATAACATTGAATCACCGACAACAATCTGCAAGATTTCAGCACTTATTAGCAATTCGATGGGCGACGGGAAAAGGGACCTCCAGTCCTTGGTTTTCATTTGATCGAGAAGGCTAATCACGAACGAGGTAGTGACAGGGAAGGCTTGGGGGAGAAAAACGATCCTTGCAAGAATAAATACACTTAATGGAAAAATGGAAGTAAATTGCAGAGAACATAAAAGGTGGTTTCAAGCTTGCTAGTTCGTCATCATCAAGTTCTATCCCTGCAGAAGAAAAGCTACCATGATGAATAAGAGGAAGACAACTCGAAGGGTGTTTTAATTTGTTCTTGTTGATTACAGAATTGTAAACTTCATGGAAAAATGGAAGTAATTGCAGAGAAGATAAAAGGGGGAAGTATGGTATAATACCAGCCTTACCGAGAGCATCATAGAGCTCTTCCGATAAAATGCAACCATTATGTTCGACATCAATGGCTTGGAAAATATGATAAAGCTCAAGCTCCTTGTCATCCATGTACCTTCTGAACTCCTGATAATCAACTCTTTCATCGCTATTTGCATCGCAAACCCTAAGTAACTCTTTCACATACTTGTAATCCGTCGGAATTGCATCGCCGATAGCCTTACCTCGATCTGAACAGAATCCAAGTACCCTACGTTTGATGTATCAAATAAATTAAACAACCCCCGAAATTGTGATTCTCTCTCGTCTTTTGTCTCTCTCAACACCAATAACACATGTTCGATTGTCACTGGTCCTGCTCCTTTGCAAGATTACAGCATCCCGCCGGTATGTCCCTTGCGGAAGATGGACGCCGGTGGTGATCTCCGACATGCTTAATCGTAGATGATGCCATCAAGAAATAAACCCTCAATTGCTCGAAAACGTATCCCAAAATTGCTATAAGAGAAAAGATCTATATGTGGAATTAGGTTCCAAGAAATCAAAATGCATACAGTAGAAATAACTTGACCCGATGGATTCAAAGAAAGGTTCAATCTTTCCAGGTCAAAATTGTGGAGCTTTTGTTAATGAGAGAGAGAGAGAGAGAGAGAGAGAGAGAGAGAGAGAGAGAGAGAGAGAGAGAGAGAGAGAGAGAGAGAGAGAGATTATGGTGTGGGCCCCATTAAGTTAAATAGAAAAACATATAAAAAATATATAAAAGGATAATTTAGTAATTTTAATTTTCAAATGAACTATTTTCACGTACAAATTAATACAAAAGGACCACAATACAAAAAAGCTAATGTTTTGATTAAAATCTCAAAAAAAATACATACCATTTTTGCAATTTTGTCTTTATAAGATAATTAGAAACATACTGAATTATTAAAATTAATGTGTTTTTTAATTTAAACGAATAATTTAGACAAATAAACAAAGAAAACTAATAAGGTTTTAATTTACAATTTTTAAAATTAAAAGAAAGTCAGTTAATGAAATTGATATGCATTTATTATTACATCTATTATAATTATTACATTTAAATATTATGTGAAATTTGATAAAATGAAAAAAAAAAAAAACTACAAAATATCAAGTGGAATAAATTTAATTAAAAATAACCACAAAATGAGATGTAGCAAATCAATAAGAGTATGATATGCGACAAAAAGATTTTTATTTATTAAAGTAAATATGATTTACAAGAATAGAAAGAATTTCATTAATAAATAAAAAATTAATATGGTCTAGTAAATAAAGAAATACATGTAGGCTCATATAGTTTAGCATTACGTGTTATTTAAGTTCACAATTCAACCATGCACGATTTTCATTTTTTCTGTTAGGAGAGTTTATGCAATAAAATTCACAATTCAACCATGCACGATTTCATTTTTTCTATTAGGAGAGTTTATGCAATAAAAGTCATTATATATACAATCTTATTCTTATTCTGTTTTAGCATAAATTTTACTTTTTGTTTCTTATTTGCCATTATATTTTTAGAAAATGTTTTATTTTCGGGCCCTTAGCCAATCACCAACAGATCATGATGACGTGTCGATTTCGTATTTTTTCAGTATACATTTAGCCACAACATTTACATATGAGTTTGCATTTAGCTCCAAAATTTATTTTGTTCCCCATTTGTGATTATTTAAAAAAAAATTCATTTTAGTCATTGTCAAGTCATGAATATGTATTTTCAAACGTAATAACTTAAAATGAAAAAGGAAAAAACAAAGGCATTAATCGAAATTGCGACTTCTCCTTGAGGGCGGGACGTGTTAGACAGTAAGCCAATGACTCTCCTTTTTGTATTATTAGTGGTTGTTGTATTTAATGCACACATATATTTTAAAAATGAAGAAAAAAGACCTACTCCAAGTCTCAAGTTCGAGACAACTAATAAACGATGTGAGATGTTAGTATGTGAGCCAATAAAAGTTATCATTTCTTTGATTTCTTAATAAATATATCATTAGAAATATTTGGTTTCTCAACAAATATGTCATTACAAATAAACAATTGTTTACTAGATGAGTTACGAATAAATTAACAATTTTGATTTATTTAAAGTTTAGCATGTTATATTGTTTATTAGATGTCACATACTCAAGACTTACACTAGATCTTTTACCTTCATTTTAAAATACATGTGTATATTAAATACAACAAACGCCGATAATACAAAAAAAGAGTCATTAACTTACTAGCTAACATGCCCCACCCCTCAAGGAGAAGCCGCAATTTTGATTATTTAGAAACATTTGGCTTCTCAACAAATATGTCATTAAAAATAATCAATTGATCTTAAATGTGTTATAAATGAAAGAACAAGTTTGATTGACTCAAAGATTAGAATGACATTGTTTATTAGATATCACACACTCAAAACATACAATTGGTCTTTTCCTTCATTTTAAAATGCACGTGTACATTAAAGACAACAAACACTGCAAATACAAAAAAGCAAAGTCATTGACTTAATAGCTAACACGCCTGCCCTTCAAAGAGAACTCGCAGTTTCGACTTACCTTCGTATTTTTTGTAACGCTCGCAGATCCGGGCTAGTCAATTTAGAGACGATGAGCAACAAAAATAAGTTTTTGATGGAAGATTATTTAGAAGGATTAATCTTAACCAGGGTGTAGTATATGTTACAAAGGTTCCGTACATATAAAGAACTATAATGAAGAAGTTATGACCCGTTGAAGTTTTACGGCAAAACCGACACGACACCGGGAGACGTAAATAGTGAATTTATGATAGAAGACTTTTTAGCCTTAGTAACATGAACAAAATTCGTAGAATACGTTAAACCGAGAACATACAAAAAAAGAACACCAAAATCTGAGTTCGTATGAGGAAGTTATGAATTTTCTAAGATTTGGCATAACAGTGCACGACCCGAAACTCGAATTTAGATCGAGCGTTTTATGGCCTACGCGACCTAAATGAGAATTGAAGAACTCGTTAATAGGAACTCAATGGTAAAAAGACAGACGAAAACAGGGTCCGTATGTAGAAGTTATGAATTTTACGCCGATATTTAACATTTTAATCTCCTCGTACTATTAAATATAAGATCGGCCGAGAATTAGCCGACAGAGTCAAAATGTAAGTTGTAGATCTTACTTTTACCTACACGTGGATATAAAGAATGTCAAAAACGGGGTTCGTATGTGAAAGTTATGGGTTTTAGAAGTCGGAAGTGTGTTGTGCGAAAATGGGTGATGTGGCACAAGCTTGGCCATTGCTTTCTCCCTAAGTCTTGCCACTAGATGGTGAAATGTGGCACCAAGTTCAGCCATTTTTCACCCTATAAATAGAACCTCTCCCACTCTCATTTTCTTCACAAATTTCCCATTCTTTCTTCTCTTTACTATCTCTCTCTCTCTCTCTCTATCTCTCTCTCTAGCCCCGAAACCCCCCGAAAAGCCTATGGAACCTCCCTAGCACGAGGCGGAAGCCCCGGAGTGCTTGACGGCTCCGAGAAAAAGAAATTTTTGGCTCGGGAACGCTGCTCCAAGCAAAGCCCGGTTTTCTATCAAAACCCCCTGTAAGTGAGCTACACCTACGCTATTTTTAATATAATTTTTATTTAATTATAGTAACGTTATTAGGAACTTATAATAAGTACTTGGGCTATTATTATGGGTTATATAAGTATTGTTTAATACTTATATAATAGTAATAGTATATAGACTATTAATTAGTCGGCAAATAATAGACTAAACTCTAGTGGTAATAATATTAGGTTTCGTCGAAGGAAATTAATTTTAAGAAGCGAAGCGTTGTCTGAGTTCGGATTCACCACCTTTTCAAGTGAATGCATGGTCCCTTTTATCTTACACTTAGATATGAAGTATTTTATATAAACTAGATGTTATGTGTGCATATTATATGTGTACTTTCTATCTATGTTGGATGAACGATTTTATACGAGTTTTATATGATTTAAACTATATATGTATTTATATATATGTAATATGTTGGGTAAAACATGGGTAGATGAAATATGAGTTGGATGATGAGTTGAGAGGTGATATAGACCATGAGCTAAGGGTGAGAGGTGGACAATGTGAGAAGCCTTGTTCCCAAATGTTGGCCCCATCATCTAGCAGAGTATGGATGACAACCACAGACTATTCTAGACAGTCCAGTGGAACACTAGCAGGCCTGCTACCTGTAGATGTTGTGAATGATGTTTTCACCAGTGTACTCTAAAAACTCATTGAGATGAATTGCGAGTGGACTCTCGAAAACGATACTGTCAATAAAGATATAACCCTAGCAGCGGTGCTCAAAGGACAATACTGGCAGCTACGCCTAATATAGAATATCACAATTATGGCAGCTGCGCCTAAGTGATAGAACTAGCAGATGTGCTTGACAGTTGTGTCATTGAAAACGATGGACTTCGTACCTATTCCTTAGGATAATCCTTAGGAATGAATAGACGAGAAATAGTTGATTCTTAGGGTAGATTAATGAAGATAATGGGGATGGGTAATTGGGTTAACTGTTTGATGATTAAACATAATAATTATATTATTGTCGGTTGAAAACCCTATGTACTCACCAGGTTTCCCAACCTGACCCACTCAATTTATTTATATCATAGGTGTTGATATGAAGTCACATTACACTAAGAGATTAAGAAGATATAAATCACTAGCGATAATGAATGTAAGTTCTGTTTATGCTTATGTTTCTGTATTGACGATTACATCCCAAATGTTTTAAAATGAATAAAAATACTTTTCTTCGGAAATACTTTGATAACGTATTTATCATGTTTCACTGGGAACATGTAACATCCCAAATTTCAAGGCCAAAAATTTCGTTTTTTAAATAAGTTATTACATAAAACCATCAGTATAAAACATTCATAATAACATCCCGTGCCAAACCAAAATGTCAATAATCAAAACATAAAACCGTATGAGAGTGTAATCCCAAGGATCTCATGTGCGGAAAACATAGTGTGATGCACTGCGATCAAGCCGGCTCCTTTCCTTAAAAAACGAGTACCTGAAACCAAAACTCTAAACCATAAGCACAAAGCTTAGTGAGTTACCCCATCATACCACATACCATACAATCACATAGCATACATACTGTTAGGCATTTCTAGGGTGCCCTACCTACCCGGTACGACCATTCTGGGGTGCCGACCTACCCGTGTCAAGCCATTCTTGGGTGATGACTACACGTGTCAAGCCATTCTGGGGTGCTGACTACCCTTCGGTCCTAACGACCGAACCTCGGGGACTATTTCGCCCCCTACTACTACTACTACTATCACATATCATAACGTAACAGATTATCAGACATATCTGGGGTGTCTGAACTACCCTTCGTTCCTAACAACTGAACTTGGGGACTATTCCCCTCATACTACCACTATCACATATAACATATCATGTCATCATATAAACATATCATCATATACTGTCAGACATATCTGGGGTGTCTGACCTACCCTTCGGTCCTAACAACCGAACTCTACTACTATCACATATAACATATCATGCCAGCATATAACGTATTAGGTAGTAGCAAACATAGATGATATCACAAAGACAAACATCTAACATACAACTCCTACTGGTGGGCCGACATTGTGGTCGTAGACCCACCGCTACTGGAAGGTAACTCACCTCACATTGCTGAAGTCTCGAAGACACAACCCCACACTTGCTGAAGTCCCGCAGACTCGACCCGAGCTGCTGGCTGACAGATTCCCGAACTGTCAACACCAAAATAACACCCAATTAATAATTGGGTCACAATACATAACCATAAGTATATTCTTTGGGTAATTACTACATTAATCCTAACTTGGCTTATTCAAGCCCAAGGCCCAATCCGTAAGCCCAAAGTCAACTAGGAATCAAAGCCCAACACATGGCCCCATTTTCCAAATTGGGCCTAGGCCTATACATGGTCTCATTCTAAGGCCCAACATCATATACTCATTAAGGCCCAAACCTTGGCCCATCTATGGCCTAATTTTCCAAATTGGGCCCAAGCCCCTTACATGGGCCTTACCCTAAGCCCATTAAATTACTCTAGATCATTTTCTTGATCTTGGATAGTCCAGTTAATAACCCAAATCATCAAGGCCCAATAGAAAGGCCCAACAATAAACCCAAGTGAAATTAGGGTTTATCATAAAATGATGATTAGGGTTAAGTTTCCTACTTAACCCATTAAGGACTTAATCCATTAAGTCCATTATCGCTTAGATTAATCTTTGCCAAAGTTTATTATTTAACATCTCAAGTTATTAAATAATTCTTGTGTGTCCCGATTAATTCTCAAAATTAGGGTTTAATTGACATTAGTGTTTTCCAACCCAAAGACCAACCCATTTATTAACTTGTTGGGCTTCTAGATCAATTAGGGCTTTATTGGGCCTACTAGGCACACTAGAATGTCGTTAAGCCCATTAGGGTTTTATTAGGGTCCATTAAGTCTTATTGGGCCCATTAGGGCTTCCTTAGGTCCATTAGGGTTTCAAACCCTCCAAACAAATCAACACAATCAAGACAAGGCACACCGCCACCCGATACGGCGGCCGGTGGTGGCGGGAGGCGGCAGCCACCACCCTACGGTGGTGGTTTGAGATTTGTTTCCATTATTCCAATTTTTACAATTACAATGAGCTCACAAAATAAAACACATACACACTAACTATACTAAAATAAACAAACATACACAGGCGACACATGGCAGCAGCCACCACCTCACGGTGGTGGCTGCGGTGGCTTTTTTCGAAACTCCAGCCAACACTACTCCATACTACACTCCCTCGGGATAAACACGCACACACCAAAATGTACCCATAGCCACCCCACACATGGTGGTCGAAGGTGGCAGAGAAAAAAATGATGGCAAGGTGGTTCTCCTTGAGCTTTTTTGTACAACGAGCAACCCTTTACACGCCACAGAGGAGCATCGATACACATACACAAACACGACAGCAGCAGCAGCGAAAAACGTTCGCTTGCTAGCAAGTCCCCGTCGTCGGCGGCGACAAGAGCTACCATTGACATCAGCAGAGGCAGAAGAAGCTTCGTCGTCAGCGGGTGGCGCATCGGCGGGTCGTCACAGAGCTACGAGCGAAGAAGAACAAGCAGCGAAGGGTGGTACCAGTGGTGGCGGAAAACAATGGCAATAAAGCTCAGCAAAGGCCACCTTGGCGAATGACGGCTCACCGTCTTCATCGACCCTCGGCGGTTCTCCGGCAGCAGCATCGCAATAGCGACCTTCCATAGCAGCGTAGCAGCCGGCGGTACTCAATGGCGAGGTGGTAGTAATCTCCGTTGATTGGAACAGCGAACAGAAGGGAGGTGGTGGTGGCTGACTTCTCCCATGGCGGCTGGAGAGGTTCACCTTAGGGTTAGGGTAGGCAACAGTTATATACTCCCGAGCCCTATAAGCATTATTTCCATAATGACCGAATTAGCCCCTCCTTCCACCTTTTATTTCAAATTAAATTCAAATAGTTACCATGGAGCCCCTGTCTTCATAAATATTTTCATAATAAATCCCAATAATATAACAAGCGGTCCCTGCCTTCGCAATTACTTACAAAATAAATTCGAAACTTACATTTTAACCCCCAAATCTCTAAAATTATAACGATTAGCTCCTCGAGATCAACACCTTGCTAAATAATTATCGATTTTAGGGCTACTATCCGGTCATTTATTTATTTATTTAACTAATAAATAAACGGGTGTTACAGAACAAATTCCGCAACATTTTTGTTAAGATAGGTACTCTGATTTTTATAAAGCATAAACAAAATCAGTATTTTCTGGCCGAGATAATGGGGATGTCACATTTTTCTTTTTTCTTTTTAAGATATCACATTTTAAAATATCTATTCGCGTTTGGAAAATGGATAGAATGATTTTTTTTTTAAAAATGGCAAATGGGGAACAAAAAAATGTTAGGGCTAAATACAAACTCATACGTAAATGTTGGGGCTAAATGCAAACTGAAAAAAAAAAATATGAAACCAACACGTCATCATGACCTATAATTGTCACACTCCCGAACCAGACGGCGGAAACGTACGGGGGCTTGTGCATGATTTCATCTTGTAACATCATCACAATGTATATAATTGAAACAAGACAACACCATCATCATACATATAAAAATACAACCAACATTATTTACATCAAGTATAATATCATAAGTTACATGCCAAAAAAATGTTCATTGTACGGTGATAACAAAAATACAATAAATTCCACATTCCCTGTAGACCTTTCTGCTTAACGATTTCCTAAGAATACAAGTTATTCTGAAAGCGTCGACATATATAATGTTGGAGAGTGCATAAGCATGTTTGAGTGAAAGACTTTGTATTGTTCGTAAAACACCAGAAAATCCGATATTTTCGGAAAAATGGTTTGAATGTGATGTGACCAAATCAAGTATTAATGCACGTGTGTTTTCCGTTTTTGGAAATGTATATGAAATGCAACCCAGAAACTCCTGTGTTTTCTGCCGTGAGTAAAAGTAATGTGCAGATGTATTCATCCCAGAAAATCCAACATTTTCTATTTTTAAGAGTATTGTAATCGTAAATTCCCAAAACTGACTGTCGATGAATGTATCTTTTTAGTTTTGTCAAGATTTGTATAACTAAACCGAAATCTTTGATGGATTTAGTCTCTAAGTGATCCGTTACAACCATGCTTGATAATGAGTAATGCGCGTGTCTTGGCATTTTTAAGTTCCGGTTTAATTAAGGTAAGGTTTGTCGCCCTAGATTGGCCTAGTCTAGCTGTAGCGAACTACTAAAGCGTGGGGGGGGGGGTGTCACCCTGCATAGATCTATACACAAACTCCCGCTCTCCCTCCAGGAGACTCTAGTTATAACTACATGCTATGATCATACACTCAAAGGTGTCAACCGATAAGTCTCACTAAATCCCCAACTTGCTTACGAGTACTCTATCACACCATGTATAAGGTTTACGTATATGTTTTAAGTTTTCAAATCCAAAGTATGTAAGTGATTGTATGAAGTCCAACAGATATGTAAGGGGCATTTAAGGCCCAATAAACATATGAGTTTTAATTTAAGCCCAATTAGCATGCGGATGGACCACTAAGGCCCAAATAAAAATGTAAAAGGGTAATTCAGGCCCAATAGGTATGTAAATGAACCACCAAGGCCCAATAAACATGTGATCCATAACTTAGGCCCAAATTAACATGTAAATGGACCATAAAGGCCCAATTAACATGACATGGAAATGTAGGCCCAATATACACTTAAATGGATCCCTAAGGTCCATTAGCCATGTAACGAGAGTATAAGGCCCAATAAATATGTTATCGATGTATTTCGTCCATTGTTATTATTTTGTTGTTTGTTTTAGCTCGATGTTTACCACGACAACAAAAATATCTAATTTTTGTAATAGAGACATGTTTGGCCCATTAGACTGAAAATATACAATTTTATTTAGCTTTTTGGAAAATTTGACACTTTAAAACCCTTAAGGTTAAAAGTTTTCATTTTATGGGATTATTTTTAATAAAATGATATTTGAGGCCCATTTTGGCTAAAACTTTTTTTTTTGGCCCAAAAATCATAAATATTAACATTTTTGGCCCAAATACATATAAATGGACATTTTTGACCCAAATGATTAATTATTGTTGCTTTCGTCCCATTTCTATAAGAAATTACCTTTTTAGCCCATTTTTTAATAGAATAGCATTTTCGGACCACATTTTGTAATAATAGCATTTTAGGCCCAAATTCAAATAAAATGCTATTTTTAGCTCGTAAAACCGCAAGTTTACAACTTTTTTCTCAAATTTGTGTTAAATGACTATTTAGTCCTTAAAAATTGAGATTTTCACAAAATAAGCCCAAGAAACCGTAAAGCCCATACTAAGGCCCATTTTGTAAGAATTTACACTTTTAGCCCTTTTGAAATTACGATTAACATAAATACTCATGTTTATGCAAATATGACTCTTTTTAATCCTTATAACACCGTAAATGACATAAAAGTCTCAAATTTTTGTTTATTTGCCAAAAATGACCCATCTTTAAGATTTTGTTTAGTTTCTTGTAGATCTTCACATGTTTAACCCATTTATCTTCATAGTGAGTTGTAAGAAATGGTTTAGTTCACAACTATCACAACTTTTGGTTAGAATTTTTGAGATCTATAGTGTTTCTTCACCTAATCACAACTTAAATCAAGAAAAACACACATAACATGCACAAATACATAGATCTAGCACACATTAACTTGTATCCTCCCCCAAAACATTGTAAAAACTGAAAAACAAGGGGTATGAACTCACCTTGAGGTATGGATTCGGTTTTTGATGAAGAAATGAGAAGATTTCGGCCCTAGCAAGCTCTTTGAGATGGTTTTTGATCTCTATGAAGTTTAAGAGTATGAATCATGAAATAATATGGGTTAAGAAAAGATTTTTGATGAAATCTTGAAGTTAAACCATAGATTTAAGAAAGGACTTACCAAGAGTGATGAACTTTGATGAAAAACTCTTGAAACACACCCTAAAGTCTCGAAAATTTGGAGAAGGAAGGAGGAGTTCTTGAGAGAGTTTGAAGGTGTTTGAAAGGAAAAATGGAGGTGGTGTGTGTATGGAGAGGGGGGGGGGGGGTTCAGCCGAGGGGTAAAAGAAGATGGAAGAAGGATAGATTGAGGTGATGTTTGCATGGATACTATTGGATAAGGTGTCTAAGTCCATAACTATTTCTGGTATGTACTTGACCCGACCCGGCATGGTCCATTTGGGTTGCATGGCACCATGCAATTGGATAGACTAAATGAGAGAAATAACACTTGGAGATTTGATAAGTTTAAAAATAAACTTGAAGATCGATTAGATCAATGAAACAGGTAGAGAAATAACCAGATAAACAATAAGAACAAGCAAATGGATCAAAAGGTGTCGAATGATTAATAAACAATCCTTATAAGAGCTCGATAAAGAACATCAACTGTAGAGGATTTTAGGGTTTACAATAATCAATTAGAATGACGACTGCTCTACTATACGCATACATGCATGCATATATTTATATTAAAAACCTAACCGTTTATCAAAGAAAAAGGGCTAATCTAGATAAACATGGATTGACAAGCCCAATCCGGTTGTAAAACAAAAGGGCCCAAGACGCAACACATTAATCTTCAACAATCTCCCCCTTTGCGTCTTTGGCACATAGGCTTCATTCCCTTTTAACAGCAGATGGTTTCTTCACCGTCTCAAAAATCCTCGGTATAATGGCCAGAATGTGATGCCTAAAAGTGATATACCATCGAAGCATATCTGTGAAATTCTTCTTATCTGCTGTAGAGTTCTGCTTGCATCGGTGAATGATGTTTATGATATGCTCCAGGCAATCTGTTGAAAACAGATGCTTGTCTACCAAAGCAAACAGAAACTTGTGCTTATCGGCTCTTGTGAACATGACCGTCAGATTTGAAGAGTCAATTTGTCCTAACTTCATTTTATGCACATCTCCTGTCTTGGAAGTAGGCTTGACGGTCGGTTTCTTGTTCATTATTTTTTCTATTTCCTGATCCATAGTGGTAAGCTCATGGATATAGGAAGCCAACATTCTTTTGAGATGTTTTAGAATCGGTTCATACTCTCTTTGATTTGAGAGAAGAATGTTGTATAGCAGAATCCAATCATGAGGATTCAGACTGGGAAGATCTACCAGAGAAATAAAATGTTCTGTGTTGGCCGTTCCTCTGTTGACTTTGAAGTTAACGTTCACAAATTTCCCAGCCTGTGTTGGTTTCAGTACCTTGACCTTTATAATCTTCTGTGCACTCCATGTCAAGTACTGTGGTTTACCATACTTCAAATAAAAATCTATCAATTCTTTGTCAACCTTCAAGTTTGGATGAGGGACATCAGCAGTGACATTGAAGCAATGAAATGTAAAAGCCTTTCGTGTGATCGGCATGTCAAACTGCGAGTCTTTGGTATTCTCACACTCAAAAGATGCAATCGGTTCCAACCAATACATGGAGGGAAACTCAATCACTTGATTAATGAGTGTGTCTCTGTCCCATTCTGGGAACAGAGTCTTCTTGGCCTGTAAAGCATCCTCATCCTCCTTGATTCTTCTTTCTTTGGCCTCTACCTCTCGAGCAATTTTCAGTGTCTCATCCAGCTCTTTGTCTCTTTTCTTTCGCTGAAGAGCTTCAGCAATAGTTTCATCAGTATCTAACTCGCTCTCAACAAGTAATTGTTTTCCAGAACCCGAAGCTAAATTAACCTTCGGGTCTGTCTTTGGTATACCCTCCTCTCCCCCTTGTCTCGGAAGAACAAGCTTCTCCGAGACACCCTTCATCTCGCTCAGAATGGTAATCACAGCAAGGAGTTTAGCCTGGAGATGCTGTCGGATGGTAAGGGTAAGAAAGGGATCATGAGTTTTGAGGACAGTCATTAACATGTTCTTGACATCACCAGCGCAACCTTGAAGAACAGCCTGCTGAGTTTT